AGAATTCATTTCAGCGAAGCTAATTTTGAGTAGAAGAGCACGATTCACTACAAAGAAGTCTTCAGTTTTTTAGAAATCCATCAAAGAATATAAATTTGTTGGTGTACTGGAACATTTAAATAAGTCTTCGGAAACTAACCGATATATTGTTCGAGAACAAAACAAAAACTGATACTCCTGAATGATGACAAATAAGCAATTCACTTTGGCTTCAACTGGGTTTGTTTTTGTGGAAATATATCTAAAAGTTTCCGGTGAGGGTGATTGCGCCAATGTGAGTGTGGAGTGTGGTAGCTGGATTTGTGTCCGACACCGACACACAACTACACACACTCACACCACGCCTTAAGTGAAACTGAATGGTCAAAAAAGAGAAAGGAAGAGAAGAAATGTTGCATAGATATTAATATAGCAAATCAAAAATCGAAAAATAGAACGAAAATAAGTGTGCCGGCAGCCAAAGAAGTAGAGAATACGATACTGATGATAACATAAATGATGCTTTATAGTGTCAAATACAGTTGTTGATAATAGAGATCCATTGCACACTTTCACACGAGTTATATGCGAAATTCAATTATAAGACTTAAAATTGAGAAAATATATTTCCTCTACTTTTCTAAGACTATATATAGTAGCCTAATATTTTCGATATGTGCCTAAATCAAGTCGACTGACTCACTGGTAAAAGATATGGGTGGTCATGAGTATTTTTAGGTTGAAAAAAAACAATGTATATTGGAAATCACTCTCATGTTCAACTATTTTAAATGCTTGTGTGTGTTCGAATCTTTTACCGACACCTCACCCCCAGCTCGCGACAGCCTTGATAATGTAAAATAATACAGTGATATTTGACTTAATTTCAATACAAATATCAAAGTATTAACATTTTTGCAATATTAATACTTAACTGACGTGCTTATGTACAATATAAAACGAACAGAAAAAAAAGAAACTCATCTTACTTTTCTCTTTATCGTGAAGATTTTTCATGTTTCAACAGGAATTCAAGTACAAAAAGGTTAAACTTTTCAATACTCACTATTCTATTATTGTCTTGACTATTATGTATTTTAGTTCTTCTGGTCGATTGTGCTCCTATTAGGTGCAGTCATTGTACTAGTACCCACTCTCGTGATTGCCACAAAACGTGCGAAAGATAGTCCTGATCGAACGGCACCTGCAGTAACAACACGAAATGCCGACGATTATCAGTCAAACAGTGACTACTATCAATCATTAAAAAATGTACATGATTTTTCTCAATTGGACAATCTTCGTTTGGATCGCCTTTCATCTCCACGATTTCATCCAATCAATGGAAAGAGTGTCATCTATTTAAGACGACAGTATCATATGCCTGATTTACGTGGATCAACAACAACTTTGCATTGGCTTGATTTAGAAACAAACAACAATATTCAGTTAACACGACCAATTTGGGGAATTCATGATAGACAAGTAAAAATAGAACTATTTCATATATTTATTTAAATTGTTGTTTCTACTTAGTTCTTTTGGATAGATAATGATACTATTCTCTTTTTATCTAATCGAGCTTCATCAGGTCTAACTCAAATTTTTCAACTTATGCTTCCTGTCGACTTATTGAAAGCAACTACTACTTTTATTGAACCAATTCAAATAACAAACTATTCATTGAATATTGATAATCTGCTAGTGAATCGACAAGCATCACGCCTTGCATTTAGCTGTCAAGTTTATCCAAATTTAACCATCGAAGAAACATTTACTCAAAAAACAACTGAGAAAAATAGTGGTCGCACAGTTTATCAATTCGATAAGCTATTCATTCGACACTGGGATGAATATATGATAGGTCCACGTCATCATCCATTTCTTGTTTCAGTCGAAAGACAAGCCAATAGAATATTCAAATTTTCATCAGAACCAATTGATGTACTTTTCAATGTAGATAGTGATTCACCAACAAGACCTTTTGGTGATGCTAAAACACAATGGTCATTTAGTGCAACTGGTAATTCATTTGCATATACTCGACAATATGATGAAACAAGTGCTGTAGCTTGGTCAACTAATATGGATATTTATACAATAGATTTGAGTAAATCTGGACAAACAAGTGTATGTATTACATGTGATAATTTGGCAACTGATACTGATCCATCTTATTCACCAACAGATGATAATGTATTAGTCTATCGATCACAATCAAAACAAGGATATGAATCTGATCAATTCAAAATAAAATTGTATAATGGTTAGTCATATTATCTTTGTGTAATTCAATAGTTACATTATTTGTTCTTCTTCACATTTTAGGATCGAATTCTAGAATAACACTTCTTGATGATTGGGATCGAAGCATTCAAGTTGTGACATGGTCTTTCGATGGTCAATCTCTTTTTCTTGAACTTGGTGAAGAAGCACGACATGTCATCTATCATTTATTCAATCTATTCACAAGTCAATCACTCACTCGTCTGATTAGTAATGGTACATCACATGAGATCAATGTTCATCCTATGAATAGTCGAATGTTCATTTTCACTCATCAAAGTTTCATTGAACCAATCAATATCTATTTATATTCATCGGATGGATTGATGCGATCTATCACTGATCATAACCAAGCTCTATTGGCCAAAGTAAATATGAGTCCCATGGCCGAGACGTTTTCATTTTCAGGTGCTCAAGGTGATGAGGTTTGGGGATGGCATATGCCGCCATCAAATGGTACTGACAAACGAGCTCCACTTGCTTTTCTCATTCATGGTGGCCCACAAAGTAGTTGGTACGATGCATGGAGCTATCGATGGAATTTTCAATCATTTTCTTCTCAAGGCTATGCTGTCATTGCTATAAACTTTCATGGTTCTGACTCATATGGACAGAATTTTACAGATAGTATTATAGGTGAATATGGTTCATTACCTTTCGAAGATCTTCAGTTGGGACTTAGTTATGCTCTGAAAAAGTTTTCTTATATTGATCCGAACCGAGCCGTAGCATTGGGTGCTAGCTATGGTGGATATATGATCTATTGGATTGCTGGACATCCAGAAATGAGTCTTCGTTTCAAGACACTCATTTCTCATAATGGTGTATTTGATACAAGAGCTATGGGCTATTCTACAGAGGAGCTATGGTTCACTGAACATGATGTAGGTGGTTACACTCCATGGTCTAATCCTGATGCTTATGAACTCTATAATCCAGTTCATCATGTTGCAAATTGGACTCAGCCAATGCTAATTATTCTTGGTGCTCATGACTA